GCGATAAATACAGATAAACACTCGCGAATATCACAAACGAAACTAAAAGCATAAAAGACGATGAATACAGATAAAAGTTTGTGTAAATTTTCAACAAAACAATATTTACAGCTGTCAGTGGAAGTTGAATAATAAGTGAGCATGTATTGATGAGATGACCATCGAATAATTCGAATTAACCCAAACGAAATCACATCTCGTTTCGAATTAATTATACATTGATGAAACAGTGGAAGTGTGCACATAAGAATGAACAGATAAAAAATGAAGGGCGCACTTCAAGCAAAGCTATAGCAATGCTTGCGGTATGAGTAAATTGCAAGAAAAATACATTAAAGCATGTAAATGAATAACAAGGGAAGACTATTAGGACGATACCGAACCGGATTTCTTCATAAATCAAAGTAACACAGAAACTTCAAACAGCACACAACGTAGACACAGATTCATTAGAACTAAATCAATGGAAATTTTCAAAACTTTACTTAATAAAACTCGTCAACAGATTAAAACTTGAAGAGATTTTTAGGTGATGTATGGTAAATGATATAATTCTGAGTTACACTGAATCATTCTGCACCCGTTGGCAAAGATACGCCAAATTTTGAACGGTGAACCTCATTCTTTGCCGGAATTAAGAGCTCGTTGTGAACATAGCTCTCGCAGTTGTAACACCACACCGATATGTCGGTGAGACTCAAAGCCATAGAATGGCCACTGCGATTACAATGAACCACAGCGTGACCATTCACGTATCTACCACAGTTTACCTAGAAGAAATCAATTAACTAATCAAAAAACACCTTGCTTGGTGTACGACTAAAAACGCGCTCATTGCTACAATATTTGAGGTCAATAATGAAGAGAATGACAGTAACAAAAATAATTACGAAGAGAATAAGTATACCTCCTCAACAACAAACAACATACCTCATAGCACGTCAGACATACCCAATTCTCATCAGATGAAGCGCATTCAGCGCACAGTGATGCCGCACTTATGCCGTCTTCTGGCAAAGGACGAACCTGAACAAGGAGATATATGAGTCAATTATTTGGCATTCTGGAAATCTGCACTTCCGACGAGGTGCACTAGCTGACTGATCAAATATTATAAAGTCAATAAAGTGAGTGAATAATTGAAACGTCGAACTTCTTCGAGATGCGGACAAGTTGATAGTGGCACGACTGCGTGGAGTGCTATTTGTGCATCAGAATTTCCGTGCGTTCCCGATGCTGAAGCAGCTTCTCCATTCATTCTAATAGATTCGTTTAATCCGAGATTTACTTTGCAACAACACTGCAATAGCAAATACCACAAATCGATTGAATTTATGAGTGATAAACGCTACTCACTGATCTAGCACCGAAAACGTCTAATGAAATGAAATTTTCAACTTCTCAACGAACGACTAAAGCTAAACCACGACTGATGCAAAATTGCAAAGCTATCACTTCGAACTAATTACAACTATCATTTAAACAAAACGATAGTCAAAACATTAGCACTTGTTCAGTTATTCGAACTGAAATTCTCGCTAAATAACAGGTCGACATAGTCAAGGCATTACCGGCAATTCGTAATTTTTCGTATAACCGACCATAACAATGAGGTAAGTTTAAAGAGCTTGAACTAGTGCAAAACAAGTAAACAAATGACACCATCAACATTATTTTTGGCACAACCAAAAACCTATACTGCATATAGGACGGATGGAAACTTTGCTTTTTACTTTGTCTACATTTACGACCTACGTTCAACTTCCTAATTAACATAACATCCGTCAATGAAACAAAATATAATGGGATATTTCATTTCAAATTTATCGTTTCGTTCAAAAGATGACAAATGAATTGAATCAACGGCAATAACAATGCAATTACATAAAGACTATTAGAGATAAAATCAGTCTATTAACGAGTAAGATGACTTAAGTAAGATGACTAAAGATGACTAAAGTAAGATGACTCGCAATTCACTCTATCTTGACTCATACCGAATATAAAAATGGATAATAACAAAACAAAACGAAAACTGAATTCCACACAACTCAAAAAACTATGAATCAATCGACCACCTTACCCAGTGGATAACCTAATAAATGCTTGAGAATGATAAATCCTCTACACATAAACCAACGTATATTTTGCATACGAATTAATTCAACTTTTCAATTGATGTTTATAGAACGTTAATAAATCATAGCACATCTCACTGTTAATATTCATTAGCTTTTCAGATTTTTTAAAGCAATGAACCAAAAATGACAATTTAAATTTGAGATATTTGTCAATTGCGTTCCTTTGTGATAATTGTCAATCGAACCCACGGTTACATGGAGTTCGGTATTAAATCCTCCATCTGAGGGCATTGTCACCCCCGTCAAACCTTAACTGATGGCATCTTCGCGTAATTCAAAAGTCTCAATTGAACTGAAGTCATACAGCGATAAGACTTTTTCTAAACAGGGTTCACTTGCAATAGAACTTATCAGACCATATTCATGCTGCTTATAACATGTTAAAATTCAATGGCAAATGGATGATAATTGACTGTCGACATAACACCATCCAAGTGCTTAGTTAAGATCAAATGAAGACATCCACGGGTGATCAGCTGACCGGAGATTACCGCATCCGAAAGCATAACGAAATTGGATATTTCGCAAGATGTCACAATGTGCCACATTTGACATTGGGCACTTAAAACGGTGGTAATCCTAATTTAGATATCTCGAGATAATGTCCTTAAATGTGTCTGCAAATATTTCCAGCATTCCAGTTTTCATTATCTCCGTTCCCAAATAAACAGTTCCGGGATAATAACGCGAAAGTGATTTCAAATACACATTTCTATCCGAATTCCTTCAGTTTAATTCAATCAACCAAACCTGACGTCTGAAATAAGAAAGTTTAGGTCGATGCTGTATGGTTGTGCAAGAGAATTTGGAATCGAATATTTATTCCATTCAAATATATTTGACAAAAATATTCACGATCAGTAATATTAACAATTCAACATAATTTGGAAAATTAGACATAACAGAAAAATTTATTTACAACATTACATGATTATGCGATTCAATTTAAAACTACATTAGTGAGCAATATTACGAATGATTTTGTTAACCACTCTTAATGAGCCGTCTCAGTGATAGTTAGTTGAAAAAACTTTTAAATATTTCCAAACAGTTCATCAAGCTCCTTCCAATTCATCACAGTCAATGACTTTCGATTTTGGAACGCGAAACTTCAACTCGAAACTAGATACTTACCCGTACTGAGGTATGAGAATGAAATTTTAAAATTTCATAAAATAATTTCGGATGCATAAAAATCATATTTGGGTGTACAGTCAGAAATATCTGGTGCGACTGTCTGGGAGGGATGCAAAAAATGTATTGAGGTATCGTTGAAAGCAAACGGAGCGTCTGAAAGAGACGGCATTTGAATGGCTTCACAACAAGCACGATATGCACAAATAGCATTCAACTCATGAGAGTGGTACTTAGAGATTGGAAGATCTTTCAAACTATTACCGAATATAATCAACCGTTTCAAAAGCGAAAGTTGACGATGAGAGTATAAAACGTTATTGTATAAGGCATGCCCACAGTGTGGCATATAAAATAGACATAAATCATCACAATTCCCTCCGTTCACAAATATCTCACCTAACAAATCACTACATTCCTCGACTTGTACTCCTCTTGATTGCAGCCATTCCTGAAAATTATGACAGATTATGTTCAATTACTGGGATAAATTTTTTTGAATTCTCTGTTCTCTCTGTATCTAAGGTTCAGTTGATTGAAAGTGTTGAATTCATCAACTATTCACTCAATTTTGTTAAAGTGAGTTGTTATTTGGAAAAAAATACGGAGAAGGAATTCTTGTTGGAGAAAATTGGCTTTGTTGGAAGCTTAAAATTAGCAGAATGTGTCATTTCTTTATTGTGAACATTTGGAATCGAGTAAGAACGAATGTTCGGCATGCGCTATTGAGATAGACTTTGATTGAATGGAAGCAATAAGGCACCTAACTAACATTTTCAGATTTTGTTGAATGAGGTTCCCTAAATAAGCACCTGTTGCAGTTGAAATGTTCCATCAAAATTATCAGCAAAGCAACTTGGTAGACACCATTGAATCGTCTTTCAGAAAAATTTCCAATACCCACAGCAACAATACACGACAGATGACGATGTTCGCCGAAAGCCAGTTTCAAATATAATTTCACTTGGTCACTGAAAAACTTAAGTTTTTGTCACTTGTGATTCAATGAATTAAGAAAATGATTCCGCGACCATTTCATATACTCGAGTATTGAGGAAGGAAGTTTTCATATTTTTAGTCTTTTGTCATCCAAAAAAAA